AATCTAGTCACTCTGCACTCAGCATGCTGGCTTAGACAGCTCAGGGCAGGGCAGAGTCCCTCCTGGGGGTGGGGTTATTGTTTCCTCTCATGGTGCTGCTGCTCAGGGGAGTGGTCTCTGTCTGAGCAAGATGGCTGCTTCCGTATGGGGGAGGAGTCAGCACTGGGATCCCTCCGGCTACTCTCTCTGTTCTCTTCCCAAAGCCTCCATCCCCAGTCTCTCTTCAAGTGTCTCCAGACCACTGTGCACCCCTGTTAGCCAGAGATCTACTACCTGTAGCTGCCACTCTGCACTCATCAGGTGGCTTAGGCAGCACAGGGCAGGACGGAATCCCACTTAGGGGCAGGGGTATCAGGTACTCTGATGCTGCTGCTGCTCAGGGGGAGTGGTCTCTGCCTGAGCAAGATGGCTGCTGCCACATGGGGGATGAGTCTGCACTGAGATCCCACTGGCTACTCTGTCAGTTGTCTCCCTAAAGCTTCTTTCCTCAGTCTCTCCTCAGGCGTCTCCAGCCCACTCTGGCCCTGCCTTTGCCAGAGCCCATGGTAAGTGGCTGTAAATAAAAATGTATGTGTTGGCCCTTTAAACGGCTCCTTGCATCTCTAGCTGCCCGTCTCTGTCAGAGAGCAACCCTGCCACGTTCAGCAGCTGGCTGTTATCTGAGTAGTTTTGGGGCTCTGGTGCTATAGGCTAGAGATCGCCGCTTATGGTTTAGACCCCGTTCTTCTCTGTGGGATCCAACTAGCCCTTTCAATATCCTTCTGGTGCTGCCGCCTGTGGGCGCCCTGCCTGCCTTCTTGAGTCTTTATAGCACTTCTTACCAGTTAGATTGCGCTAAAGCTGATTCTTCTGTCTCTGAGGTTATAAAACTCCTCTCTCGTTATTGTTCATTTGTTTGTTCCAGGTGATTTCTCCACAGTTTAGTTGTAATTTCAGGTTGGTCCTGGGACGGGGTCAGTGTGACTTCCACTCACTCTTCTGCCATCTTGATTTTCTCAGAAGATATTTTCTTGAGTTAAAAATATTAAAGCAAATACATAAACATAGACACAGACCTTACGTTTCTTACTAATATTAACTCAAAATGTATCATAATACACTTAGAAATAAAATGCAAAATATATAATTTCTTGAAGATAACATAGAAGAAAACCCAGGTGACCTTGAATTTAGCACTGAGTTTTTAAATAACATGAAAAGCTCAATTCATGAATAAACAAGTTCATCAATTTGATTTTAGGAAAATTAAAAACTTTTGCTTTGTACAAGAATGTGAAGAGAATGAAAAGACAAGTCACTGACTGAGAGAAAATATTTGCAGAAGACATCTCTGGTAAAGGAATTTTATCCAAAACATGCAAAAAAGTCTTAAAACTCAACAATAAGAAATTAAAAAACCCAATAAAAATGAGTGAAAGAGTTGAACAGAAAGATACCTCACAAAAGAAGATATACAAGTACTTATGGCAAAAAGGCATATGAAAAGAAACCCAGCATCAGATTGTATTATAGAATTGCGAATTATGAGATACCCGTACACACCTTTTAGAATGGCCAAAATCTAAAACACTGGCTACACTTAATGCTGGTGAGGATATGGAGCAAGAGAACCCTCTTTCATTGTGGTGAGAAGGTAAAATGATACGTCCACTTTTGGAAGACAGTTTCTTATAAAGGAAAATCTAATCTCCAGCATGTAATCCGGCAATTGCATTATTTAGTATTTACTCTATTGATCTAAAAACTTATGTTCACACAAAAGCCTTCACAAAACATAGCAGTTTTATTCATAATTGCAAACACTTGGAAGCAACCAAGATGTTCTTTAATAGATGAGTGAATAAACAAACAATGTATATCCATACAATGGAATATTATTCATCAATAAAAAATGAGCAGTCAAGCCAAGAAAATATATGGAGAAAATTTAAATGCATATTCAAGTGAAAGAAGCCAGTCTAAAGAGGGTACTTACTGTATGATTCTCACTCTATGACATAGTGAAGAAAAAATTATTGAGACAGTAAGATGAGTGGCTATGAAGAGCACAGGAAAATTTCAAGGCAGTGAAACTATTCTCTATGATAATATAATGCTGGATATTACACCAGGTGACATTATGCATTTTGTAAAACCCATAAAACTGTACAACACAAACAGTGATTGTTAATGTAAACTATGAGATTTAGCTAGTAATAATTCATTAATTGTACAAAAATATATCACACTAACGTAAGAGGTTAGTGATACAAGAGACTGTTTTGGGGATGATGAGAGGGAGTATATGGAAACTCTGCTTTCTACTGAATTACTCTATAAACCTAAAACTGCTCTAAAAAATCTACTAGAAGAAAGATTATGTTATTGTGTCCATATGTGGGCATACATTAAGTTTCAAGTTAGGTTTACTTATGGAAATGAAAAATTGATACAATAATCATTTTCTTATTTGGAGTTGTATGAGGGTTGTCCAGAAGGTATCTAGCAAAGTAATATGAAAAATAGAGACATTTATTGAAGGTATAAAATACAAGAAACATTGTACATAAGACAATGAAGCCTCAGTCCCCTTCAAAGTAGGCACCTTGGGACTTCACACAATTCTCCCAATCACCGTCAGCTCTCCTGAATCTCATTCAAGATTTGAAATCTCTTCACTTGCAAAGATGATTTTAGTTTGCGGAAAAGCCAGAAATCTCAGGGCGCCAAGTCTGGGGTGTAGAGGGACTGACTCACCTGGGTGATTTGATGTTTCTCAAAAAAAAATCTGCACGACATGTAATCCATGAGCAGGAATGTTGTTGTGATGAAGCTGCCTATCACCAGTGGTTCATAGCTGTGGCCTCCTGAACCATCCCAATAGTTTCCATGGAGGAATGCCCAAGTTTAACGCAAAATTTGATGCAGATTCGTTGCTCTACTCGCTCAATCATTTTGAATGTGATGACCACACAGCACACATGCTCTTTCAATGACATCTATTCCCCCAGCTGACTAATACAGTGAAGTCCTCATTGTTCACACATGCGCATTCCAGTCCATTCACCTTGGCTGCCGAGTTCCACTGATGTTGCACAAACCGTTCTAGTTATATTAACAATGGTTGGACTTTTCCCAGACAGACTTTGTATGATTTTCATGTATTACTTGTGTTATTTGAACAGATGGATCATTGCCTCCTCCCTCATCCCAATCCTGCTGGTCACAGATGTTACTCTTTTATGTTAATGCTGGCTCAATTTTCTGCTTTTGATCTATTTCACAACTGTGAAAGAGATTCTTGCATGTACCTTTACTTCTTTTGTCAGCTTGATTAGCATCTCTTGGCAGTAAGCATCCTAATCTGCCTCCACCCCACCCCACCCTATGTCTTGTACTGTGTATTAAAATAAATTTAAACATTCTGAATAACAGGAATAGTAAAATGAGTATCACATACACATACTGTTACCACATAATGGACCGGTCGTGGGGGTGCCCAGATGCTATTACTGAAACAATGCCCACCCCCCTTCCTCAGGGTCCCTCAGTTGTAGGTCCTTTGCCCGCCGCCCTTGAAATTATGGTTCTCAATGGCAGAGTTTGGTGAAAAGGAAAGGAACTATTTATTCAAAAGTTATACAGGTTTTGATTAATGGCTAAATGTCGCCCTTAAATCTCAAAATCCCTTTAAAATACCCACCAACACACACAGTCTTGTCCCCCTCCCGCCCCCCGCCCCCCGACAGCTTGCCCAGTCAAGCCAGTCATTCCAGTCAGGGGTACCGTCCTTCAGAAGAAAAAAGACCAGAAGTCTGGGGCTCCGCTAGGCAGGCCTCTTGCGGTTCCCAGCGCCATCAGCTGTGTTGCTGCGATCTCCAGTTCTTAATCCAAAACCATGTGGCACCTTCCCAGGGCCCACCAGCGAATCCTTCCTCCCTTTTTCTTCCTGCAGTGGTCTTCAGGGAGTCTGTGTTCTTTTGTCTCTCCTGCAGGCTGTCTCCCCTCTCCCAGTTACATTCTGTGATAAAGTTTTTCAACCTTCCTGGCTAGCCTTGTTGAGAGGTAAAATAATTGTCTTTGCAAATGAGGTCTGAAGCTACCCTGTTATTGACATGCAAAATGACTCTCAAAGGCCCTGCTCCACTTCTGGTAAGAAGCTGGCCAGTTACTGATACACGAAGTAACTCTCAATGGCCCTGCTCCAGGTCTCCCATCCCCCATGGCGGCCAGTCTTACAGAGGAGAGCCTGGGGTTGGGGAGGTTGGGGAGGTTGGGTGCTTTGGGGGAGTGGGGGAATATCTTATATTTTTCATGGACACACACCCCAAGTTCTAGACCCTGTTACAAATACCCTTTTGGAGAGGGTGGGGGTGGGGTCCTGTCTGTGCCCTGTTATAATACTTTATAGATTTAATGATTCTTAACCTTTTGCCACATTAGCTTTCTCTAATTGTTTTGCCTAATTTTTAAAAAGTAAATTATAAATATTTTATAATTGTGAATATATTAGTATGTATCTTTAAAAAAAATAAGTTTTTTACATTGTCCAAATACAAGGGTGGGAAAAATAAGTTTACAGTTGTGAGTACAGGAAACACAGTGTTTATTCTTGTGTTGTTATTTATTTATTATTGTATTACTTGTTATTATTAACCTGCTTTTGCCCATCCTGTATAATCACTCTAACCAAAATAATGGTAATTTTCCTTAATATTTCTAATATCTACTTGATATTCGTATTTCCCCAATTGTCTCTTGCACCTGTTATCTTTCCAACCCAGATCAGATCAAAAGTACCACGCCTCGCAATGTGTTGTCAAGACCTAAATCTAACCCTAAATCTCTGAATTCAGGAAGTTTCAGGGATCAGGTCCAATTGGCTAATGAAGCAGAAACGCTCAAATATTACTTTCTTCGGTCTCAATGCTTCATGGGAAATGTAGTCTTGAATGTATGGACCTACCGCGCGCAGCCTCTGAGAACGGGTCCTCGGACTCACTCTGCGCATGTGCACATCAGTCCTGACGCCGCCCGTATCTGTGAGCCCTGAGAGGTACTTTCTATCAGCGTCACTGGATCTGTGTGGGAGCCGAGGTTGCTCACCCGGGGTGATAGCACTGCGCCCTTGTTGGTCAGGTAGGCTTGTGTCTGGGGCAGGGGAGCGGGAAGTCCCGGGGACCTCCAGGCGGGCCAGCCCCTCCCCCGACACCTTGTGCATGCAGAGTAACCCCCATCGGTTCAGCGACGCAGTTGGGGCTGAGCCCTCTTTAGGAGAAGGTTCTCTGTGGGGCCTGGTGTGGGGACTGCAGGCGACTAGACAGGTATGCACCTTCATGACGCTCATGGTGAATATGAGGCTACTAATAGTAGTTCATGCATTTATTCTGAGAAATAAGATGTCATCTGCAAAATATTTTGTCAAATCCTCTATTAATCACTGTGTAAGGTACTATCAAAAGACACTTTGTTCCTTTGTTTATTCATTTAACCAACAAGCCTACTTATCGGCATAAACAGGCCATTTTAAAAAGCGAAAGGACTTTCATGGGGGCGGAATGATACAGCGCAAGGCACAAGTTGGTCATCGATGAGAGGGGTAGGACGCAAAAACAGATTTTACAGTTTATCTCTTGCTCTTCCTAATAATTCTCCCTGCCCCAAACCCAGGGTTGCAACCTTTGGAGCACTTAGCAAAGTAGCCTGTCCCCAAATTCTCAGAGATAGGATTGTGAAGTGAATGAGGACAGAATCGCACCATTTGGCAAGTATATCTGGGATTTGTAGGTTTTCTTCAGAGCTCCTGGGTCAGACTAAGGCTCTTGTGCCTTCCTGCACTGTCTAGGCTGTCTCCATGCTCAAAGACCCAGTCTGATAATCTAATGCAGTGCAGGCCAATAGAAAGCTAATGCAAACAATACAAAAATAAAATTAAAAAATTTTCAGTAGTAACAGTAAGAAGAAAAGGAGGTAAAGTTAATTTTACTGATGCATTTAATTCAGTACAGTAGTCAGACTTTGGGTGCAGTAGTCGCATGCAAAAGAGTCAGGTTTAGAATGTTAGATAAATGTTTCAAATAAAGTGAGTCTGTTTCTCAGGCTCAGGTCCCAGTCCCTCTGGAGCATAGCAACTCTTTGATGTCAGGAAAGAGGAAGCCCCAGGAACAACTTCCAAAGAGAAGAACCATCCTTCTGACAGACCCCTCACCAGAGCTTCAGTGCAGTGGCAGAAGTTTCTAGAAAGGAGCATATCCTGATTTGCTACAGTAAAAGCAGTTCTTGATCCACGTATGGCATGAGTCAGACTTGGTGAGGTTGCCACATCCAGAAGCTATCATAGACTGTGTCACAGAAACCTGCAGAAGGTGGGAACCTGGGGTTGAGAGGAATGGGGCACTGTCAGGCTGCACAGGAAAAGGCACTTCAGTGGATGGCTGGTGAGTACAGATGTCCATGAAAGGTGTCACCAGCCAGAGCTGACTAAATCGTAAACAACACTATGTTTTTTTTTTTTATTCTGCTATCCAGATTATGAGCTGCTCTCATACCATGTCCATCACCACATGTGGCATCTAGATTTACACTGATCCTTCCTCTTTCCTAAACATAGAGATAACAAAATAATAGTAGAAAGGTTTTGCCAAAAATGTTGGGTCTGAAATGAATGATTTTTGTAGAATCACTTAGGGCAGAACCAAACAGCAGCAGTGCAGTACTGTTTACTCACACAGGTAAGTTCTGTAAACATCAAGAGATCTTTTTTAGAAAATGCAACCAATTAAGAACAAAAAGTTAAACAAATATATTTTTTACATAAAGTGTCCCATCTTTATTGCAGTTTTCTGTGGAAACTCTCAGTGTGTAAATACAACAAGAACTTGATTAACTGTTCCACAAGAACTTGATTAACAATTCAGCCTGAGTAGTTTTTTGACATTAGTTTTAATAAAGGTAGAGGGTTTCATCTCTGGTGTATCTGAATTTATTTAACAAGTCCTCTATTTTATTTACTTAGTTAATTTTTTTTAAAATTTGTCAGAAGGGGGCATAAGTCGTTAATTGATTAACAGAAAGCAATTTATCTTACTTAGTGAACATGCAAGGTTAAGCCCACGTGATCATATTAGAGATGCGCATGTTTAGGTGGTGCTATCTCTGTGTGGTTCTTCCTGTTTCTTTTCAAGGATGTCAAAAGGCCATTCTTCCATAGGAAAGCCTTTTCTTTTCTTTTTTTTTAGATTTTATTTATTTTAAGAGAAAGGGAAAGGGAGGGGGAAAGAGAGGGAGAAGTAACATCAATGTGTGGTTGTTTCTCATGCACCCCCAATCCAGGGACCTGATCTGCCACCCAGGCATGTACCTCTTACTGAGAATCGAACCAGCAACCCTTTGGTTTGCAGGCTAGCGCACTCAATCCACTGAGCCACCACCAGCCAAGGCGGGAAGCCTTTTCTCTTCTTGGTGTTACAAGGTTTTTTAGGCAGATGAATATAGGACTTGTAAGGCAGACCAGGTTTCTCATGACCCAATTTCTCTTTCCCCTTACCCAGCTGGACCTTCACAGTTTTGTTTTGTTTTTTTTTCTTTTTTCAGGAGCAGCAGAAAATGAACATAGCTCAGGTGAGTTGAGTTTTTTATAAACTGTTTATTTTACAATGGATTTTATAAGGGCTTAAGTGTGTCTCTGTTAACATGGAAAAATAGAAATAGGAATGGATCAGATACATTCAGAGAAGATACAGAAATACAGACGAATAGCAGAAACATATGATTTGACATGTGGATATATACAGATTCCCTCGTATTAAAAATTTACCAAATTTATTTCTTAGGTTTCCAATATCTGTGTCACAGTGTCAGACAATACTTTTTTAAAGGCTGACATTGGTGAAAAGATAAACTGATTCGTCAGAGAATATAAGGACAATTGAAGATAAAAAATAACCTTTATTGTTTCCAAGTAGGTTTTCCAGTAATAACCCTAAAGTAATATAGAGCGTTGCCTTTCCTCATTCTTCAGTAAAAGTAGAATACTTAATGCTATATGTAAACTCAGTCAATATTGTTTTTCAGAAACTCAGACACAGAGGTTAAGACATTTTGCTGATGAATCAACTGAATATCCTTAAAGTTACTCTGCATTAATACATATTTCAAGTATGTATGCATGTACGTGACTTTGTAGATTCTCAGGAGTATATCAAAGCTTTTCAGAATCTTCACTGACATTTCATTCCCCAGAATTCCTTTTTAAGTTTATTTATTGGCTACTGTTTGCCCCAGCTGTTACCCACTACCTCAGGTAGCCACCAAGTTAAACAAATGCTTTTAAAACAAATGCTTTTAAATGTTTTGACAGATGCCTCTGAGTGTAGGCTATTCACAATACATAAGCTCCAAGTTACCGTAGCTCCAGTAAAGACATCCTTGTAAGTGGGGTCTTCCAGAGACCCTCCAAATGGGCCAAATGATGATAGTTTTCTGGAAATGAGTTTTTTTTTTTTTTTTTTTTAAATCCTCACCTGAGGACATGCTTATTGATTTTAGGGAGATGGGAAGGGAGGGAGAGAAACATCAGTGTTAGAGAGAAATGTTTATTTGTTGTATCTCCTACATGCCCTGATCGGGGACTGAACTCACAACCCATGCATGTCCCCTGACCAAATACCGAACCTGTGACCTTTCAGTTTATGGGACAACATACCAACCAAGTGAGCCACACTGGGCAGGGTATGGGAATGAGGTTTTAAGGAACTCCAACCCTCTTGTAGTTGCCAGGCTGCTGGTTTCAGACTGTTGGTGGTCAAACTACTGCAGAGCTGGACAGGAGGGATGGGTATAGGGTAAATTATAAGGACACAGTATCACCTGTTCTTAGGACCGACCTAACTGTTTTTCTTGTATATTTCTGCAGGTTGCATTTGTTAACTTGTATAATTTTTGCCAGTTTTTTCATTGCCTTTGTGGAGGAATTTTCTGGGATCTGTACTTCAACATTTTCACCTACATCACTTGTTAGTTTAAGTTTTAAGAAAAATCCAGCTAACTTCTATTAAACCAGATATTAAAGAGATTGGCAAAAAATGAAAAAAAAGCCACTTTTCTCACTAATGTTTTAATTTTAGAAAATATAGTTAAATTTTCTATGTAATTTTTGGATTAAAATAAATTTAATGAGAGGTGTTCCTGTTCTTTTTTTTACTTGTTTTAGTTCTTAGCTACTAGTACTGATCTTCACACAGAAGTGATATTTACTCAGTAATACTGAAGACATTCATGAACATATAATTGGATACATAATAGTGGGAAAAAAAACTTGTTTTTGTCCTCTTAATCTATTTCATGTTCTATTTTTTAATTGTGACAAGAACACTTAACCTGAGATCTACTCTTAACCAATTTTTGTGTGTAGAATTCAGTATTATTAACTAGGGGCACGATGTTGTACAGCAGACCTCTAGAACTTAATGTTTTTACAAGTGAAACTTCATACTCCTTGAAGAGCAACTCTCCTCCCTCCCAGCCCCTTTGAAGTCTTTTGTTGTAGAAACTTTCCCTTTTTTCATTTTCCAAGACTCTGCTCTTTCCTGGTTCTAATCTTATATTTTAAAAAAAGTTCTCTGGCTTTGTGGACTATCCACAAAGAGGATGGTTTACTGCCATCTTCTTTTAATACTTATGGTTCCTCAAATGCTGTTTTTAGTACTTCGTTCAATTTCTGTATACCCAAGTTGCTGTCTGACTGCCTCTGAAACTTCAGTTAACTGCCTAAATTGCTAGTAACTCCTTAATGCTTGTCTTCATCCCAGAAGTCCTTTTTGAGATCTAAAATCATGTGTATATTAGTATAAGGGACAGTTCCAGCTTTACATTCCATAGACCTTTCACTAGCAATATGAACAGATCTGTCACATTAGAAATTCTAATATATTTTTTTCCTTTGTTGTCCCAAATACCAGTATTTGGCACCAGCATTGAAGAAGCAGCTCAATATTGCTAGACTGGACAGCTACATAAGAAAGTAGTTATCAAATTGGTTGCTGCTTCTGCCCTGTGATTATATCCCTATCATTATAGCCATTGTTCTTACTTTAGTGTAGATAGTATTCTCTTACAATGGTCTCTCTGATTCCAACTCCTTGGTAAGTTCTTTGCTCTTCCTGAGTTCCAGATTTATATATCTTAAACATTTATTTATATATAAGTTCACAGCTTCCATGTATTCTTCCTTGCTCCCATTATTTATGGTAATGATGTCCAAGGAGAGTTTGAACATCCTAGAAATCTAGAATAACCAGCATAATTCCTTGGGATATAGAAGAAGAATTGTAGGAAGTCTCTCTACACTGATTTTTTTTTTGTCTTAAACTACATAAATATAAATGAATTATATTCATATATAAATAATTATATGTTTATAAATGAATTATATTCATTTATGAATTATGGCACATTAAAAACCTTTTTAACTGAGTACTCCAAAGTTAAAGACAAATTAGTTCAAAATATGATATCCTTTATATATCTGTTTTAAAGCCTTAAGAGTATATAGAAAAATAGTTGTCCTCAAAGGCATTGTCTTTATCACATAATTCTGAACTTTTGAACAAAATATGTTCTTACAGGGATCAGTGTCATTTGAAGATGTGACTGTTGAGGTCACCCAGGAGGAGTGGCAACAGATGGACTCTACTCAGAGGACCCTGTACAGAGATGTGATGCTGGAGAACTACAGCCACCTCATCTCCGTGGGTGAGCAGACTTTATCCTGTGAGACCTTATCCCATGGCTCCCTTTGGAATACATTTCCTTTTTTAAAAAATTATCAAATCACCTACACCCTTTATAGAGATTACTGTTTAGGCTTTTGCTTAAGAAGCCTAAGTAACACCTTTAGAGAAATAGAAACAATGTTTGTGTCATTACTTTCCATTAAAAACTGCAAATGGGTACTTGCATTTTGCTCTTGCTGTTGTATCTTTCTTCACCTGCAGAAACTAAAGAGCCCATGGATCTTGTCTATAGGTACCCTCAATTGTTTATTCACAGGGTATTGCATTACCAAACCCCAGGTGATCTTCAAGTTGGAGCAAGGTGAAGAGCCCTGGTCCTTAGAGGAAGAATTCCTAAACCAGAAGAACCCAGGTGAGTGAGCTCAGATAGAAGGAAGCTACTGAGGTAGTTAGCCTTTAGAGGGAAATATTTTGGAAGTTGTTTTTCCTTTTAAACAGCTTTATTGAGATATAGTTCACATATCATATATATCACCTATTTAAAATATACAATTCAGTGGCTTTTATTATATTCATAGATATATGTAAACACCATAGTCAGTTTTCTTCAACTTAGAAACCCCATACCATTTAGTTATTATTACCTCCCTATCTTCTGGCCAATCCATTCCCAGCAATCATTAATTTACTTTCAGTCTCTGTAGACTGGGCTATTCTGGACATCTCATATAAATGGTATCATACATTATGTGTTTTTCTTGTGATTGGTTTCTTTCACTTTGTGTTACAAGGTTAACATTGCAGCAAATATTAGTATTTCTTCCTTTTTATGGAAAAAATAATATTTCATTGTCTGATTGTACCACATTTGTGCATTCATCTCAGTCAGTGGACATTTGGGATTCTGCCTTTTGGCTGTTTTTGAGTAATGCTGATATAATCACTCATTTACAAGTTGTTTTTTTTTAAGATTTTATTTATTTATTTTTAGGGAGAGGGGAGAGAGAGAGAATGAGAGGTAGGGAAACATGAATGTGTGAGAGAAACATTGATCAGCTGCGTCTCACAGACCCCTACCTGGGTACCTGGCCCGCAACTCAGGCATGTGCCCTGACTGGGAATCAAACTGGAGACCTTTTGGTTCACAGGCTTGCACTCAATCCACTGAGCCACACCAGCCAGGGCCATTTACAGATTTTCGTGGGGACATAAGCTTTTGTTTCTCTTGAGTCAATAAATAGAAGTGGAATTGCTGGATTTTATGGTAACTCTGTGGAAGTGCCTGTTTTTCAAAGTTAGGTGTACCATTTTACATTCCTAATGGTAGTACTCAGGGACTCTTGATTCCTCCACATCTTCCCCAGCACTTAATATCTGACTCTTTGATTGCAGCCATCCTAGTGAATCTGAAGTGTTGTATCACTGAGGTTTTGACTTGCATTTCTGTATTAGTAAGCCAGGCTGGCATAACAAAATACCATAGCCTAGGTGGCTTAAATAATAGAAATTTATTTCTCACAGTTCTTTTTTTTTTTTAATCCTCACCTGAGAATATGTTTATCGATTTTAGAGTGAGAGAGAGGGGAAGAAAGAGAGAGAAACATCGATGTAAGAGAGAAACATCCATTGGTTGACTTCCTGTATGTGCCCCAACTGGCGATCAAAAGCACAACCTAGGTATGTGCCCTGACTGGGGTTTGAACCTGCAACTTTTTGGTGCATGGGACAGTGCTCCAACCAACTGAGCCACCTGGCCAGGCTACTTCTCACAGTTCTGAAGGCCTAAAATTCAAGATCAAGGTGCCAGCAGGGTTGATTTCTGGTGAGGCCTCTTTTCCTGGCTTCATATGAGCACATGGCCTTTCTTCTATGCTCCCATGGAGAGAGAAAGAGCTATGATGTCTCTTACTATTTTTATAAGGACACAAGTTCTGTAGCATTAGGGTCCCACCTTTATGACCTAATTTAACCCTCCTTAAATGACTTATCTTTAAATACAGTTACACTGGGGGTTAAGGCTTCAAAATATGAATTTTGGAGGTGGGTGTAGTTTAGTCCGTAAGAGTTTCTCTGATCACTAATAATGTCAGCCATCTTTTCATGTGCTTATTGGCCTTTGTTTAAATTAATAAACAATTCCAGGAATTTCAAAAGTAACAGTTTCAGTATAATTCTTTAAGTAAAAAAGTAAAACCATCTTAAGTGTTTTCACTGAAAGTTTTTATTGTGAAGTCATTTAAAGAGATAGTTTAAAATAAAGGTTGACATAATTTAGGTCAAGCATATTTCCCAGTCACTAAATGTAAATTATTTGATCATACTGATTGGCTTAAAAAACAATCCCTAAATAAATATCTTAGAAAGATTATAATAAAAGAATGGTAAAGTTATTAAAGTAGTAAAAATAAAATGAGAATTTAATCTTGTATTATTCAGGTTTGAATGTAGACAATAAATTCATTAACTTAAAAGTAGGCCGTCTTATGTAAGAGCACAGGTTAAAGTAAACCTTTAAGCATTTGAATGATTGTACCAGACAATGATATCAATGATCACAAAACCCAAAATAAGATTTTATTTATTTATTTCTAAGAACTTAAAATTCACTTGGATTAGGAGATCATTGTATACATTAAGTCTTTATTAATGTTGTTGATAGGTTTTTGGAAACTGACTTTAAGCGTAATGACCTAAAATGAAACCACCTTTATTATAGGCTAATTGATGTAAACAAGAGTTAAATTCCTACAGCAAAAACATCACCAGTCTTCTAAATAAAGATCTAAAACACATTCTTTATTAAACATTGATATGTAAACTGTATATACACTTAAGAAAAATTAATCATTGTCTTTCAACCTGCTTATTCCAGTTCATTGTTGAAGGTGGCTGAAGCCTATCCGGGCGGCTTAAGGTGAGATGCCATCGTAGCGTGTACTCACAGACCACACAAACTGGGGAGCAATGTAGACACTCCAGTTCACCTAATATGCACATCTTAGGATGTGAAAGGAAACCAGAATACCCCGAGAAAACCACACAGACAGAGGAGAATATACCAACTGCACACAGACTGTCCCTGGCCGAGAATCGGTTTTTTTTTTCTCATCAATGTTATAACAAAATGACATTTAATGAAAGGAAGTTATTTGAGGACCTACTGTACCTCATCTGATTAAATAATAAATACTGTGGACACTAAATAAGTGTGCCTATAGTGGATATAAATGATATATGTATTAGAGTGAACCATATATTTGTGTATATGTATGCTGAAGTCACAGGACAAGCCTTTCCGGTTCCCATTAAATAATCGTAAGGTAGTGAAAATATAGTTTTAGTCTAAAAAGAAAGCAATAAATTCAACAAGTTAGAATCACCACAAATAATGTTGTCTCAACATAGTTTGATAAATGTATAAGTTAATGGTAAAATGAGTAAACAAAAACAATATGGAAATTTTAAAAAGTATCTCTTAAGCAACATATAAAAAGAAATGAAATCTAAAATTGCATGACATAAAATACTAAAAATAAATGCGCATATTAGAAACCTTAGGACACAGCTAAGTTAGTGAACAAAGGTAAATACTGTATTAATTACGCAAGAACAACAAGAATGTACTAATGAAAATAGTAATAAACTGGAATACTAAGAAAACAGTAAAATGGATGAAACTTTAGCTAACCCTAACAAAGGAAAAGATAGTGAAATTTTATGTAAAAGTCAAGTGGAAATTTTTAATAAAGATTTAATGTAATTTCAAACCAAAATTCCATTCATAAAGAAGAATAATGTGTGAGGACTTGCTTTACCAGATATCAAGGATGTATGTAAAGCTCTGAGTAGTTAAGTGGTGTGCAACTGGGGGAGGGGGCGGTGAGATAGTTTAATAAATTAGTGAAACAGAGAAGAGAGCTCAAGACAAAACATCCTTTATAAACAATTGGTTTTTGGCAGATGACACTGTCTCCACAGAACACTGGGGAAAGAATCCTGAGGTAAAACATGGATCAAAACAAAAAAATAGGATTTAGGTGGCTTAAACCTGATTTTCAAAGCAAAAGTAGAAATATTCTAAATGATGATAAGAAAAACATGTTCATTGCTGTGCTTAAGGAAGGAATTAATAAGATATAAAAAGCATTAACCAGAGGAAAGATGTAATACATTCCTTCCTACTTGATTCACTAAGTACAGATGGAAAGAAGAAGGAAGATGAATTAGGTACTTTGGCACTTGATAAAATACAGGGTGGTTAGTATTACAGAAAGCTGGTGGGAGCCCGATCTCTTATTCCTGCCTACTATTAATGTGGTAACTTTCTCCTTCAACTGCCGGGGATGTCACCAGAGGTTTAGTGGGGTACCTGGATTTCTTTTCCCACTTTGCGGTAGTGAAGCTTCAGCTCACTTCTGTTGGTATGGTTTCAGAAAAGACTGGCTAAAACTGAATATTAATTTTGATAATTTTCTGTAAGGACCATTGCTTTTGTTGTCCTGTCTAGAAACATCAGAATTCAAAATGACACAGATTTATTCTAGTGATTTTTTTTTTCTAGAAATTTTAAAATGTCACATTTTGCACTTTGTGATCCATTTGTTGTTAATTTTTATAGAAAGTATAAGGTATATGTCAAGTTCAGGTTTTGGAAAAGGTGTTCAGTTATTCTAGCACCATATGTTGGAAAGGTTATTTCTCCATTGAACAGTATTTGCATAATCTTAAAAAAACAGATGAATGTATATTTGCATATTTTTCTCTATATACATTTATTCTATATGTCTAAGATCATATTTCTGTGGCATATTTATTTTTTACTTATCTACTATTAGAGTAACTGATTCTTGAAATTAGGTATTGTGAGTTCATCAGCTTTCTACTGTATGAATGTTAAAATGAGCTGCTTGATATTTTTTAAAAAGCATGCTGGCACTTCAGCTTGGACTGCATTAAATCTGTAGATCAAATTAAAGAGAATTGACATGTAAATAATATAGATTATTCCAATCATAAATAACATTTACCTCTCCATTTATTTAGGATTTGTTTCATCAGTTATTTTCAGCATACCTATACCAGTTTGTGTGTGTGTGTGTGTGTGTGTTAGTACAGTGGTAAATTACGTTGTATTCCTGATTTCAAATTCCAATTAATTATTATTTGTATAATACTTGCTTTTGTGTATTTGCTTTGTGTTTTACCATCGCTGAAAACACTTAAGTTGTTCAAGGAGTTTTTTAAAAGATCTTTTTGTAATTTTTCTGTGTAGACTTACTATATATCTTTTATTTTTATTCTAGCCTTCTTGTATTGATTGGAACTTCCATTACAATCTTGAGTAGAAGCCAATACCTTTTTCTACTAAAAAAGCTGTTTACTGTTGAAAGTAAACACCTTGTTTTTCCTAGTCTTAGCATGAAAGCATTCAGTCTCTATTAAGCATGATGTTAGCTATAGGCTTTTTTTTAAAATAGACTCCTTTTATATTAGCTTACTGAATGGATTTGGAATTTTGTGAAATATTTTGCCTTAGTTGATGTGGTTGTGTGATGTTAATTATTTAGACAATTAATATGCTTGATTTTTGAATACTGCAACAGTTTGTGTTCTTGGGATGAATCCCACTTGATCTTGATTTATTATTTTTATATATTGCTGTGTTCCTTTTGCTACTATTTTTCAGTATTTTTATATTTACATGCCATGAGGAAAGACCAATATAGTATTTTTCTTTCCTTAAATTGTCTTTGCTTGGTTTTGCTATGAATATGATACAGGCCCCATAAAATGATTTAGGAAATATTTCCATATCTTGTATTTTCATGAAGAAATTATGTGCAATTGGTATTATTTCTTTAAATATTTAGTAGAATTCACTAGTTAACACCATGTTTCTGGAGCTGTTTTTTTTTAACTACATATTTTTTGACCACAAATTTCTTCAATAGATTTAGGGTTTTTTTTTTCCCCTTAATGACTGAATTTGGTAGTTTTTGTTTTCAAGAAATTGGTCCATTTCACCCTAGTTGGTGTGGCTCAGTAGACTGAGTGCCGGCCTGCAAACTGAAAGGTCATCAGTTCTATTCCCAGTCAGGGCATGTGGATCATGTCTCTGGTTTGGGGGTATGCGAGAGGCAATAGATCCATGTCTCTCACACACTGCTGTTTCTCTTCCTTTCTTTCTTCCCTCCCCTCCCCTCTAAAAGTAAATAAATAAAATCTTTAAAAAAAAATTGGTTCATTTCATGTCAGTTGTCATGAATTTCGACATAGAATTTCAGTATTTTTGTATTCTCTTTAATGCCTGCTGTTATCTGTAGTTAATCTGCTTGCATTTATTTTTGATATCAATAATGTGTCTTTTGTTTTTCCTTGGTTGGTTTTTATCATTAAAAATCTTTTCAAAGAAGTAAGCTTTGATCTGATTGACTTTTCTCTGTTATTTTCAATTTCATTATATTCTCTAGTCTTCATTATTTTATTCTGCTCTCTTTAGATTTAACTTCTTTTTGTGTAGTTTCTTAAAGGAAGCTTAGGTAATTGATTGGTAGGTTTTTTTCTTTCCTAATATAAAAATTTTAAGCTATGAATTTATCTCTTAGTACTGCTATAGCAGCATCCCACAAGTTTCTATGTTTTGAACAGTTTTTGTTTTCATTCACTTCAAAATACCTTAATTTTCTGAGACATCCTCTGACCCGTGGTTTAATTATAAGCATATTTATTTACAAATATATGTATTTTTATTTTTCAAATAACTTTGTGTTACTAATTTGTAATATAATTTCTCTATGGCTTGAACTCATACTTTATATGATATCTTTTATATTTGTAAAAATCTGTTGTATAGCCCATAATGTGGTCTGTCTTAATGAATGCTTGCGTACATTTGAGAATAAGGGGAATTCAGCTGCTTTTTATTTTTTTGTGTCTGCATTTTGAGGGTATGCTTTTTACAAGTGCTGCTTCATCTTTCTTAGCTGTAACATTGGGCCTACAATGTATTCCTGTCCTCTGCCCTTTTTTTCCATACTTCTTTTTTGTTTTCCTCCTTTTTTTTAACTCCTGCCTGCTATGATTTGGTCACCAGTACCTTGAACCAACACATTTGTTGCTCTTGCTCACCTAGATTTTATAGAGTAGATAGGAATATGGTTCCAGGTAGAGTTTTGGCAGTGGCTGCTGCTTCCATTCATAATATTTTATGAATGGAAGTTTCTCAGAATACTTTATGATCTTTCCTGTGAACTCTTGGTTTGGCTCATAGAGGAAAATGTGCAAATGCTTTATATCTGCAGTAAAACTACAGGGAACAGGTTTTTAAAAATTTTTTGGGGGGGCTAGGGGGAAGCTTGAGTATGATGAGTATTGTTAAAAAGTTCGTCTGTTAGATCACCGTTTTTTCAGCTCTTTGGCTAGAAGGTACAGCTTTTCTTGGCACTCTTGTCTTTGCCTATTGTTCACTTTAATTTGCAGGCTTCCCCAGCAATCCAGCACCCCATACAAGATATATAGGAAGCAGAAAGGAAATCTTGGAATTATCTGCCATAACACTTTTTAAGTGTCACAGTCTACCTTTTTATTTTGTAGCATCTTTATTTTTATTTTTTTTTCAGTGATTTTTAATTGCCAGATACGGTGGACCTGGAAGAATGGGGCTGCTCCATCTTGGTTAGCACTGGAAATGATACCTGTTTTTTTCTTTTTTTAAACAACTCATATGAGCAGAGAGTGTGTGTATGTCTTTCTCTCTGTATGCATGAATTATTAATCTTTGGAAACAAGACCAGAAACAATATGATGCATAACATTGAGCTCCTGTCAGTAAGAAATGTAAGAGTCATAAGATGTTTTCAATTTTTCTCATTTTAGGATATTGCAAAGTTGATTTTCACATTGAGAAGAACCAGGAAAAACAAGAGAAAGCTCTGTGGCAAGTAATGTTCATTGATAACAAAATACTGAGTAAAGAAGGACAGAAAATTTTAGGAAAACCAATTAATCTGAATATAACTCCAGGTTTTTCAGGAAAAATGCCCTGTAAATGTGACTTGCCACTTGTTTCTGACTTAATTATTAATGGTAGGAAGTATTCAAGAAAGAAGACTGATGATATAAATGTATGTGAAAAGTTGCAGCTTGATGTTAAACATGAGAAAACTCATGCTGGAGAGAGGTCTTACATATATAATAAAAATGTGAAAGCTCTTAGTCATAAGAAAGGTCATCAGAAATTTCAAACTCTTGAGCAACCTTTTGAATGTAATGAATTTGGAAAAGTATTACATGATAACATTGACTGTGTTACTGCCAGGAGTCCTCTAACAGGACAGGAATTGTGTAAGGATGATGAATTTAGGAAACACTGTGATAAGGCAACTCTATTTAACCACATAAGAACTGGCACAAGGGAGAAATGCTTTGATCTTAATGAATGTGGCGAAAGCACCACTGTGGAATACAATAAAGCTCACATGGCTCTGACACACTATGAATTTAACGAAAGTGGAAATAACTCCAACAGCATTTCACCCCTCATTCAGCCTGAGGGAACTGTTACAGGACAGGGTTTTTTGGAAAGCAGTAAATGTGAAGAAAACTTGAGCCAAAGCTTAGCCCATCTGGTACATCAGAAGACACAAACTGGTGATAAATCCTGTGTTTTTAATGGATGTGCAAGTTCCTCCTACCAGAACTTAGACCTTGCAATACATCAGAGAACTCAGAAAGAAGAGAAATTCTACCAGTGTTGTAAATATGCAAAATCTTTGCATCAAAACTCACTCCTCAGTGCACCTCAGGAAAGTGACACAGGAAAGAAGTCATTTCAAAGTAATAAATGCAGTAAATTCTTTTACCAGAAAGCACATCTCATTTACCATCAGAGGACCCACTCAGAGGAGAAAGCCTATGAATGTGAGGAATGCAGGAAATCCTTTTGTCCAAATCCACACATTATTCATTATCCTGGGACTCATATGGGGGCCAGTCTCTATCAATGTAACCAATGTGGGAAAACCTGTCAGGTGTCAGACCTCAGTGAATATTGGACAATTCACCAAAAGGAAAAGTCTTATGAGAACAGTGGATTTGGGAAATCCTACAAGAAGTCTGCACTCTTAGTACGCCAGAGAACACACACACACATTAAACTCTATCAAAGTAATGAATATAGGAACTCATTCTCCAGGGTGGCACAACCTAAAGAACATCAGAGAAGTTACACAGAGGATAAACAATATGAATCCATTGAATGTGGGAAAGCTTTCTCCAAGACACATCTCAGAGTACATCAGAGAATTCAAACAGCCAACAAACCCTATGAATGTATTGCATGTGGGAAAACTTTCTCTAATAAGACACACTTGAGTGCACATCAGAGAATTCATACAGGGGAGAAACCCTATGAATGTAATGAATGTGGGAAAACTTTTGCTGATAATTCAACCCTCAGGACACATCAGAGAATCCACACAGGGGAGAAACCCTATGAGTGTAATGAATGTGGGAGGTCTTTTGCCCATACGTCTGGTCTCAGATCACATCAGAGAATTCACACAGGGGAGAAACCCTATGAATGTAATGATTGTGGGAGATCTTTCGCTCATAATTCAGCCCTCAGAGCACATCAAAGAATTCACACAGGAGAGAAACCCTATGAGTGTAATGACTGTGAGAAAACTTTCACCCATAATTCAGCCCTTAGAGTACATCAGAGAATTCACACTGGGGAGAAACTCTATGAATGTAATAAATGTGGGAAAACTTTTTCCCAGAAGACACATCTCAGTACACATCAGCGAATTCATACAGGTGAGAAACCCTATGGATGTAATGAATGTGGGAAAACCTTCTCCAAGAAATCATACTTCAGTGGACACGAGAGAATTCACAAAGGGGAAAAACCTTATGAATGTAAAGAATGTGGGAAAACCTTTGTCTATAAAGCAGCCCTTATAGTCCATCAAAGAATTCACACAGGAGAGAAACCATATGAATGTAATGAATGTGGGAAAACTTTTTCCCAGAAGACACATCTCAGTACACACCAGAGAATTCACACAGGTGAGAAACCTTATGAATGCAATGAATGTGGGAAAACTTTCTCCCAGAAGTCGTACCTCAGTGGTCATGAGAGAATTCACAAAGGGGAAAAACCTTATGAATGTAAAGAATGTGGAAAAACCTTTGTCTATAAAGCGGCCCTTATAGTCCATCAAAGAATTCACACAGGAGAAAAACCCTATGAATGTAATGAATGTGGGAAAACTTTTTCCCAGAAGACACACCTCTGTGCACATCAGAGAATTCACACAGGGGAGAAACCTTATGAATGTAATGAATGTGGGAAAACTTTTGCTGATAATTCAGCCTTCAGGGCACATCAGAGAATTCACACAGGGGAGAAACCTTATGAATGTAATGAATGTGGGAAAACTTTCTCTAAGACCTCACACCTCAGAGCACATCTGAGGACTCGTGCTGGGGAGAAACCCTATGAATGTAATGAATGTGGAAAAACTTTCTCCCAGAAGTCATATGTTAGTGCACATCAGAGAATTCATACAGGTGAGAAACCCTATGAATGCAATACATGTGGGAAACCTTTTGCCCATAATTCAACCCTCAGAGTACATCAGAGAATTCACACAGGGGTAAAATCTTATGAGTGTAAAGAATGTGAGAAAACTTTCTTCCAAAAGTCACACCTTAGTGCACACCAGAGAATTCACACAGGAGAGAAACCCTATGAGTGTAATGAATGTGGGAAAGCTTTTGCACAAAATTCAACTCTAAGAATACACCAGAGAATTCACACAGGGGAGAAACCATATGAATGTAATGAATGTGGGAAAACTTTTGTCCGTAAGGCAGCTCTTCGAGTACATCACAACAGAATGCACACCAGAGATAAAACCCTTTCATGTAATGAATTTGGGAAGTCCTAAAGGAGCTATAGGTAACAGTGGAGAAGATCATGTCACATAGACTGGCAAATTGTCTTTTTTTTTTTCCCCCTAAACTTTTTTAGTAAGCACAAGCTTGTCTAAATTTTTTTTCTGTCCATCAGGGTGGGGCTCATCATGGAATATGACACTATTACATTTCAGCTTAAGTTTGGCCTTAAAGAGTCATTCTTCCTATTCTGTGTTACACTGGAATGGAGAAATTTCCATGGCAGACTTGGGAGCTATGTGTTGAACACAGAGCACAAGGTGAAAGAAGTTAGAACCTGAATAACGGTGAAACAATGCTCCACTAACAGATCTTTCCCAGGACTTTTTTTCTTTTTTTTTAAGCAGGAATTAAGTTTGTACTGTGTTGAGCTCTTACAGATTTTGGTCCATTGGTTAAATGCATATAGTTTAGCAAACTATTAAGTGGGATGAAACCTGTCACCCCAGGACTGTTGGTGCCAATTTAGTGCCAACAGGAATCCTCAATTTGAGGTGTGGTGAAGAAGGAAACTTTATTTAGTGCAAGCACAGATACAACATGGCTTTGAAAACAGCACTGCTATGCTGCAGTGCAGCTGTGAAAACTGCCTGGCTGTCAGGCTGCCATGGGGCCAGGCCTGTCTTTGGCTAGGAAGCTCCGGTCTGGCACACAATGCCCTGCTGCTCTGCTCTGCTCCACTACACTCCTTGCCAGCCTGCTGTACTCTGCTCCAAGGAGACATCTTTGGAGTTTCAGTTTAGACCAGGAAATGCAATCTTCATTCTTCAGTGGAAAGTGCACTCTCCAAACCAGAGGGAAGCTGGCTTATATGGACACAAGTCCCCACCCCTGGTTGGTCCTCATGCAAATGAGGAATCCAAATCCTTGCAGTTTGGTCCAAAGGCAGTGCTGATTGGTCAGAATAGAACTGTTCTGATTAGATGGGGAAAGCCTCAGTCCTATTGGTTGGAGTAGGAAGTCCAGGAAACGTTTGTAAGGTCTGGTTCAGATGGCAGAAACACAGTGCAGATAGGCAGTTCAATGCAGAGGCTTCTCAGTGTCATGCAGACTGTGTGAGAGACCACTGGGCAGAAATGGCTGCTAGACTCTGCTTTTAAAAATTTTAATTGTTTTTATTTGAGCCTAGTTGTCCTTTTGCCATTCCTAGGTTCACAAACTCTGTAAATATAACAAATATCAGAAGACCTGTCAGATTTCAACCAGTATATCAGAGACTTCATTCACATGATGAAGGCAATTTCTGTCAATGTCCCCAATGATCAGATGACCTCCTTTAAAATGAGAGAAATCTCAGGGAAATACACCAAGGCCTGTACTTCCAAGTGAATTTCATCAAACATCAAATAATAAGATTAGATCAAAATGTATTTTGATAAATGACATTTTAACACATTGAATTTGTGTCAGATAATTATTTTCTAAGGAAATGTATCAGTTTCAGAATTGTAGGTAAAATCTTCATCTAGAAATTATGTACTAAAACTTGCTTATAAGTTTTATGGAAAAATGAAAGTACATACAAACTCACTGTAGAAATTTTTAAAGATAGAATAACTTGAATTCTGTGGATGACACCAATAAATGTTTATGACTAGTTTCTGAGATATGTGGTACATCTATGAGTCTATATAACAGTAGAAGGCAGAAATCAAACATGCTGTGACTGGTTCACTCTTCTTTTTTGAGTGACAGTTGACACGCTGCTTCGTTGGTTTTTCTCAGCTTGATGACATTAGATTTTGGCCATTAGATTTTGGCCTGGTATGTCTGAATATTGGTTTGGCCCTGTTTTTCTAGGACCATAAGATTTCTCTAGGATTCTCTGTGTGTGTGGTGAATGTTGATTCTTACATGCTCTTTTGGGCTCAAATTTTATGCCATTTTAGTGGTTCATTTTGCTCTGAGTAATTATAAACAAGTCTTAGCTCTCTTGTATGCATGTACCCTGAGGATCCTGTATAGGATCTTTTCCCAACTGCGTGATACTGCAGTGTTGCAAAGTAGTTAATTTCTATCCTGCTTGAGTAGCAGGTTTTAGAGTTGGAATGAAATCAGGGCTATCAGGGCTACTTTTGTATCAGAAGCACCACATTGGCATTAGAAAAAGAAATTCTCTTGAGGAAGCAATGTAGTGTCTTAGCCAAGAGACTATTTGGACAACCTGCCATAATTTCAGGTTACATGATTTGGTCAGCACAGAGAAGGAAGTAAATGAAGTTTTTATTTTTAAAACTTGGAGCACTAAGCATTTCAACCCTAGGCATGTTGCCTTCTGCAAGTGCAATCTGGTAGATTGAGTATGTGGACAATAAATTAGTTGATTACCTGAGTAAATTCTCTATTCCCTGTCTTATATTGATACTGTATGAAGGAAAATAGTGGTATTTTTTTAGGATTGATTGGAGAACAGATATTTCTTTCACACTGGCTAATTGCTTAACTTAGTGGCGTTACTGCCACAGAAAAGGGCCAGGAATAAAAGGTCACCATTGGATAAGGCTATATCATAGTGCTACTAGGACTATCACACCAGAGACTTGATCTAAACTCCTGGTGGCAGAAGAGTTGCAGCAGCTAAAAGAATATGCTTGCCCCACCCCAGTCTCTTGACACTTTGATGCAATGTGAACTTATTGCATGTTGCCAAAAGGGAAATGAGTCAAAGAGATCTCTTTTCTACATGCTTGATTTTTTAGAAAACTATTGGTTTATAGAAAACTAAAGGAAATTATCTAACCTGGAGTACTTTATATTTTTAAAAAGTCAACTTCAGCCTAGAATACTTGTAGATTTAAAGGAAAGTTAAAACAATAATTCCTACGTATTCTCATACAGTTCCCCTTGTTAATATATTTTGTTACTCTGGTACATTCGTCAGAAGTAACATTGATGTGTTATTAACAAAACATTATTTTTCAGGTTTCACTAGTTTTTCTGTAGTGTTGTTTATTCCAAGATTTCATCCAGGATACCACATTACATTTAATTTTCATGTCTCCTTAGCTTCTGCTGGTCTGTGACAATTTCCCATGCCTTCCATGGTTTTGATTAACTTGATAATTTTGAGGAATACTTGTCAAGTATTTTGCAGGCTATCTCAGTTTGGATGTCTGATATCTTTTTATGTTTGTGCTGGTGTTACAGGTTTGTCTGTTTATTTTAAAGTAAGATTACAGAGGTTAAAAAAATACCATTCTCATCATATTAATAGTAAATGCAATCAGCCTGAATGATCACTAACAATGCTAAGCTTGATACCTGGTTGAGATAGTGTCCCCCAACTCAAAAGCATGTATAGTAAGCACTGTGCTTGCTATTTGGTAAAAATTTCTTTAATAAATTATTAGTTTATCAAATTGTACATAAAATGAGATCAAAATCCTTTTTATATGTTTCCGATTTTCATGTTGGAAACAACATAAATAGGTTAAAACCTGGAACATCCAGAATTTAAAAATAGCCTCAAGCTGACGCTGTTCACAGTCCCAAGTTTTGGTTTTTAGTGTTTATTGGAATATGAATGAATCATTGCCCTTTTCTTTGTTCCCCAGGATTTAACTTCAGGATTTTATTTATCCTTACATCTCATCATGGAAGTGGTACTGAACTCTTCTATACCCCTAATTTGGACTTTGGACTTTGAGTGATGAAAGGACTGAAAGTTTGCATTTTATGAGCCAGTCAACCCAGAGGCTATTATATTAACCCAGATAACAACAGTAGATACAAAAAATGACCAGCCATGATAACTAAGAAATCTATGATGATAGGACAGATAAGTCAGGTTTGAGAGTAAGATGTGGTATCAAAAGCCAAATGGTTAGATAGGGTTTTTTTTTTTTTAAGCATCCATAAATTGGTACTAGAATGAAGATTTAAAAAGGAATGGATGTGTTATTATTAGAAAGTTAAATTTGGGCTTACAGGCCATGGGCAGATTATATAATGAGATAGAGATACAAAATATTAGGAGCAGAGGGTCATTCCCAGATAATAGCTTAATATATAAACCAGAGAAGGGTTATAGAGAAGCAAAAATTACTAATGAAGCAAGAACACATGGGCATATGCTATTGCACACATCAGACATAAGTGTGGATGAAAATTAATAGGAAATCTTGTAAGGGCAATACTGTAAGAGAACAATATTGATTGGAGTACATGTGGAAAATAGTTCTATTGGTAACATTCTCTCAAAACAGGCATGTACCTCTGATAGAAGAATGTAATCATGTCCCTATTGTAATTGATAAACAGGAGTAAGATTTTTAGACTGCTCAGGGAATGAGAGAAGACTGTTGGTGGCCAGAGTACACTGTGAATCCAAGAGAAATAGAAACCAACAAGCACACAGGAAGCACAGGAAATAAGGGAAGGAACAAAAGACGAATGAATTAACCACGAAAAAATAACTAGGTTATACATGCCTTATGGATAGATAACTCATGAAAGAGAAAAAGGTTATACATTGAGAAATGGCCTAAAATTATAGAACTGCCACATTCCAAGAAATCTGGTGCACTAATTAAGTGACAAGTAGAATTAAGTTGCCAAAGAAGACTCAGGTCCCAAAATGGCAACACTCACAAAGAAAGAAGAGGCTGCCACAGCAAAGGGTTTGGATAAGGGCCATGCAGAAGCTCCCATATTTCTCCATTGTACAGACATGATTTTACTGTCAGGTAAGAACCAAATGTGCACAGGACTCCCAGAAGCCACAAATTGATTAAGTGTCAAAGTTTCTTCTATTGTGCTAGATTTATAGCCATATTCTTGCTAGATAACCAGCCACAACTGCAGAGGACTCTGAAGGTCTTAATGAGAATGGGTATAAATGATCAATTGCACTGTTATCAGTAAACGTTGTTGATAAACTGTTAAAACGTGTCCCAGAACTTACGTGATCCATGGTTACAAAGAAACACTAGTATTTCATTCCTTGGCTAATGAATGGTGATATACAGATGCTTTAGCACAGGCCTATTCCAGGAATGCTGGACTTAATCCCCCTGAATTTTGGTCAAAGCGTTTTACAGAAAACCCATCACTCCTGTTTGACAGCAGTCGTTTGCCTTTCAACAACATGTCTAATCAACAATCAAAATACACATATACATTGCAGAGAGCTGTCGTAACCAGTGAGGGTTCTGTATAATTTAAATTGTCTTATAATGCTGGCACAAATTGTCTCATATTTTACATTTTCCTTTTTTGGGGGCCCTCCTTCCTCCCTGATCTATAGCTATGTACACTTTATGGTATACATCTATTGAATAGTTAAGAATTCTAATCAATCTGTCATTTAAGTCTAAATCTTCTTTAAGCCTATTCTGTTCCATAGACATAATATTTTGTGAAATGAAAATAAAAAGAAAGCCACATTGGTATTGTTCCACATAGTCATCATCCGAGCTCTGTTCTATTTATTGATTAGAAAGGAGGACATAGCTCAATCCTGAAAGTATGTATATTAGATTGGCCATTGTATTGCTCATTCTTTTAATTAAAAGTGGAGGAAATTTTGGGAGTCTTTTGTCCCAAGAGGCTTCTGAGTCTAAGCTAAGAACATATTTTTCACTTGTCCTAAGTTTCTCTAAAGGCACCAATGCTATCTTAGATTATTTTCTTTTGTGACATCCATTTATTGGCTCCCCTTCATGGAGTGACAGTCTCACAATGCTCGCATTTACCATTAATTTTAAAATCAAAATCAACCTTTCCTCTTGAAGTCACTGATAGTGACGGTAGTAAGATGAAATGATCAGGGCTTCCTCTTTGGGCCATTCCCAGTCATTCAGGATTGGGTTGGATAAGTACAAAGAATATAGCTCTCTCACCCACTAGGCAACAAAACATCTGTATGGTCAGGCCCAACTTGGTGAAATACAGGGAGATTGTCCATCCCATCAATCCCTTTGGAAGTCTTGCCATTAATCAGAGTAGTAGGCATAGTCTCTGGTTTTGGAATGTTTTGAACTCTTGGGCCTTAATTTTAGCCATTATACGGACTTCCAGATTGCTATTGGAAAAATTCTTGGAAGTAGGGATGAGGTGTACTTGAGTTCCTTTGTCATCCCCTATCCTATAGACTGAACGTTTGTGTTCCCCCAGTATCTATATTTTGAAGCCCTAGACCCCATTGTGTTGGTATTTGAAGTCTGGGACTTTCAATGAGCACTTATTAAACACATACATAACAGACATTATACCAGGTATTGGGAGTATGCCTTGCCTATGTGGAGTTTATAATCTAATTGGAAGAACGGTATCAATGTATGTGTTGGTTGTCACAGTGGAAGGGATACTTCTCTTAAATTTAGTAAGATTTGCTATATTTCAGTGAAACAACAAAGGAATTAGATTAGAAGCCAGTAACAGAAAAATCTCTAGAATTTCTTCACAAACTTGAGAACCATGTAAAATACTTATGAATAACTCATGAGTTGAAATAGAGCCAAACAAAAAGTATTTTGAGTTGAAAGAAAATAAAATATGTGCATTTCAAGATTATTGAAATCTCCCTCATTGAGTACTTGGAAATGTACATTAGAAGATTTTGAATTAACGACCTTAGTTTGTGCCTTAAAAAAACCAAAAGAGCAAATATAAGCAAAAAGATTAATATATTATTAAACTAATATTTATATTTACTAATAATATAGGATTTACTAATATTATTTACTTCATAATATTATTATTAGAAGTAAAAAAATGTCTCACATATCAGTGAAATCATATGGTTCTTTTACTTTGCTTAGCATGTTATTCTCAACATTAATCTATGTTGTCACAAACGGCTGAAAGCAAGGGAACAAATAAAAATAAACAAAAACTCATGTACACAGACAACAGTATGGTTATCAGAGGGAAAGGGTGTGAGGGGGTAGTAAAGGGGGTCAAGTATATGGTGATGGAAGATTTGACTTTGGGTGGTGGGGACATAGTGCAGTATACTGATAATATATAATTGTACACTTGAAACCTATATAATTTTATTAACTAATATCTTAGCACATTTAATGAAAAATAAAACTAAGGTGTAATCAAATTGACCAAGAAAATATCATTGTGGAAATCAACAAAATAGAAAACCAAAAACTAACATTCTTTTGAGAAATTCCATATTATTTATAAATATCTATTCAAGCAGAGCAGAAAATATGATGTAAAAATTAGCATATCTGTAATAAGTAACATAACAGATTCTACAAGTATTAAAAAATAAGATAATAAACACATGCCAACAGATTTGATAGCTGAGATAAGGTAGAAAAATTCCTCAAAATACAATACTACCTAATTTCATTCAGTAAGATATAGCCAGGCCAGTACTGTATCTATCAAAGAGATTGAATGTGTAGTTTAGAACCTTCCTACAAATAAAATTATAGGTCTAGATGGCTTCAGTGGAGAATTACACCAAATATTTGGGAAGAAATAATGCTAATTATACATAACTGAAGAGAAAGTTGGAGGAGATGTGACTACTTCTTAATGTGTGAGGCCAGCATTACCCAGACTCTAAAACCAAAAAACATTAAAAGAAAGCTGCAGATCAATACCCATTATAAATATAGGGGTGAGCAAAAATAGGCGTATGGTTTATTCTTGTATTGTTTATTTATTATTGTATCAGTCTCATATTTGCATTATTTGCCTTTCTGTACAAACCACTGTAAACCTACTTTTGCCCATCCTTGTATAAATGGAAAAATTCTTAAAACAATTTTAGCAAATCAAATCCAACAATATGTAACTCAAAAGGTTACTACATATACAGGTTTATATCCTAGGAATGCCAGATTGGTTTGATCTTCAAAAATCAATGTAATTAGACTTATAAATAGATCAAGAAGAAAAAAACCAATCTGAATAAGTACACAAAAATTTGACAAAACTCCATATCTATTTCTAATAAAAACCTTTAGCAATTTATAAAATAGTGGGAACAATGCCTATATTATTAGGGCTGATACTTGGTTGGCATACAGAAGTGAGGCTGTACCAGTTGTGAAGTTGTGCAAAATAACAGCACCTTTGTACTGTTTGGTAAAGAGCTCCTTCCCTGAGCCTTAAGTGTTTCCTGCCACTCTGTTACTCTGTCTTCTCATCTGGAACTATCTATTACCTTCCACTCTCTAGGTAGCTAAATTTCTCTAGAATTCCATCCAGCCCCACATCACTGTCTTTTTCATTGGTTGTTGCTTATTCCATATTGGGGGGGTTAAATATTTTGAGTATCATCTCTATTTATGTCTATAACTATCATGACATTAAATTTTGAAACAGTCTAGGATTAATCACTAGTTTATTAGAAAACTTTAGCGTAATGAAACCATGCCTATTGTTATCAGGACCACAGAGTTACATTATGACCCCATACTCTCAGAGCTTTTAACTCAAAAAGCCAGAGGAGGAGGGCAGTGTACCTCTTCTTATACCTGGCCTCTTATAAAAGGATAAGGATGGCCCTGACTGGTGTGGCTCAGTAGGTTGGGTTTTGTTTTGCAAAGCAAAAGGTTATCAGTTTTATTCCCAGTCAGGGCACATATCTGGGTTGTGGGTTTGGTCCCCAGATGTGGTGGTATGAGAGGCAACTGATTGATGTTTCTTTCTCACATTGATGTTTCTCTTCCTCTCTCTCTCTCTTTTCCTCCCTCTAAAGATAAATAAATAAAATCTTTATAAAAAGGATAAGGATGGAGGTGTTGATTGTGTATCTAGGGAAAGTCATGGGTCTATATGACTCCTACAGTTTCTGAAGCAGGGATGGCTTATGGAGAACTGGGTAGCCTGAAGCCTGGAAAGGCTGTGGTTTGGAATAACTGCAACAGTAAACCACTGTCTTTGACCCTAAATGGTTGGATATGTAATGAATGTAATTAATTTTGTGTACAAAATTAGAAGCTTATATATATGTTGAATATAAACCATGCATGATACTAAAATCCATAAACAACTAAGAGAAAATTATTGGCTTGTAACAATTCCAAAGTAACTGAAAATGCAATATTAATTTTACTTATCAACATGAACCAGTTTTATGTTTATAGCACTATGTAAATTGTCCAGTAATAGTAATATTCTTAAAATATTAGATAAAAAATATTTAAATAAATACTTACTGTATCTCTTTCTTAATTAGCCACCACCAGTACCTCACAATCACAACAATGATCATCTTAAAAAAGACTATGCCTTGGCTTATCAATGCATCAACACTGTTTAATAAAATGTGTCATTCTGTTTTATCATTTGGTGAAATTTAAGAAAAGTTATAAATATTAATGCTACTAACATTTTTCTGTTAAAACATTGCAAAAGAAGTTTATAAATAGAAAAATGTAAATAATTTATAAAGAGCATAAATAAGTTAAAAAATATAACGGGATGTTATACATCTTTAGATTTGATAATGACCATTTGATCAACCTCACACTGTCTTAGGTGAATAAGAAGAAATATATGGTGAGAATTTGCTATCTCACACTATCTGTGAACTGTCCTGGGCAATGAAACGATGGAA